AAGACCCGCCCGCGCCGCCTCACTCTCCTCTGCCTCGCCCTCCTCCTGCACGGCCTGGGGCCGCCGACGCGCCTCGATCTTCTGCAGCGCCACGTGATGGTAAAAGGGCAGGAACGCGAAGACCGGCTCCGTGAGGTGCATCAGCGCCACAAAGGCATCGAACGCGTAAAGATACCCCAGCACCGACAGAATAATCCCGATCAACCAACCGTAGACCAAAATGGCGAGGAGTCGTAGCATTCTCGCGAGCTCGCCTGGTTGGAGTCCCACCTCGATTTAGTTTCCCTCTCGCTCGGAATGACGCACGCGGACGCCGACGCAGGAAGAACTACAGATATTCAAAAAGAAAAAAAGAAAAGAAAACCAATTGTACTGTTAGTTTAAGCATGTAGTTTGCACTAGAAAAGGCCCCAACCCTTCGCTCCCCACGGAGGAAAAAAAAAAAGAAATGATAAAAAAAAAAGTGTGTAAATCTTAAGCAATTCCATGATAAGCATCCCCTTTATGTCAGTTCTTTGTCTAATGGTGCCTAACGCCAACCTTGCGATAGCCCCTTCGAGATATGTAAACCACATATTCTCATTATCATTCTGCCCCCAGACACCTTGTGTTCTACAAAAGGATTAACTAGGAAAATTGTTAACTACTCGCTCACTCGTAGAAAAAAACTTCTTGACGAAGTGGATCCATCGCATCTATGAAAAGGATAGGTTTACCGCAACTACTAATTAATCTTCACCCTACCATAATAAGACCAAAGACAGAGACAATATGAAAGAATTCATTTTCTTCCTTACTTAATCACATCTGTAGGCACTATCTGAGCCCCTCCCTTCCCGCGATGAGATCCAATCGTTATCGAATCTATATTCAAATAACAAAGAAACCAAAAGAGCACGACATTAAACAGATGGCCGTACTCTTGAAAAAATCTAGAATCGGCAATTTTTAAAAATATATACAACAAAAGGAAAAAGCATATGTGTAATCGAACAGATCTACTGACCAAAGGAATGCCCGCCACATGGGAAGGGGCACGATCGAGGCCCTTTAATGTATAAGATTTACGTGGGGCACTCGTATTGCCACCTGGTTATCCCCCCGCCACGAGCAAAGAGGGGGCGCCTTCATACCCCTCAGCCAAAGAAGTATACGCATTCGGATACAATTAGAAGCTCTATCATCGATGTCAGTCAAGAGACTTAAACGCGTCTGCCATACTAACATAATGATAACAATAATTATGATGTACAAAAGGAACTATTTCCCCCATGTGGTCTCACAGTTGGGGCTTCCATTCACTATCTCTTACCGCGAGGGCTCCTCCTTACAGCCAAATAGGAAAGAGGAAAGGAACGCGCACACACCCATTGACCTCCCCAGTGAGCACGCGAAACCAACAACAACAACAACAACAACGAGGTCAGATGCGGCAGTAGTATCGTAATATATAAAGAACCGCAAATCATCCCCAGGGGCTCACCCTCAACCCCTTTCGGGTTGGCTTTCACACCGTGTGGTTGCTCGACGCAATCGAATCGGGTGCTTTGTGGATCGGTTGGTGGCGGTGGTGGTGGAGTGTTGTAAAATCGGCCTGTGTGTGCTGGTTGCATCACGTACTAACCCCTCCCACCCTCTTCAACCTTACGTTCGAACAATGATTTGGTAGATATCACACCCCCTCAGGACGAGGACGAGGAAGTTGTGGTGCTCGCAGAGCAGCTCGAGATACTTCTGCAGCGCGGGATTCACGGTGAGGGCGTCGTCGGGGAGGTCGGGGAACTCCTCGCGGGCCTCCGCCTGGATCTGTACGCATCGTCCGGAGAGCACCTCACGGAGGTGGGAAAGGGAGTGTAGGGCGTGCCCCGCCACGTCGAGGATCATATCCCCCGCCCGGAAGGCATCCTCGTCGGATTCCTCCCCCCCTCCTCCTCCTCCTCCTCCTCGGGTCCTTCCGGGCGCTCGCCGCACGCACGTGACCTCTAAGTTTTTATTCACATCGCAGCCGAGGATGGCCTCGACGGCGAGCTGCGCGCTCGGGGGGTAATCCATATCCTCCGGGGAGAACGTCATGTAGTGGAAGGGCCGCGCCACGCGGGCGATGCCGGGGTAATGCCGACGGGGTGTTAACTCCTCCCCCTCCCGCTCGCGCTCGCGCTCGCCCGGGTCCCTTCCCGGCCTCGCAGGGGTGAGGAGATCCCGCCAGCCCGCGGCGACGCGCTCGCCGATCGCCGCCCTCGCCTCCTTTTCATCCCCGAGCAGCGCCTGGCGGTAAAACGCCTCCTCGGCGAGGAGCTGCGCGAGGTGCTCGCGGGCTTTGAGGCGACGCGCGTGATGCGCGCGGCTCGCGTGGACGGCGGCGTCGAGGATCCC